ATCATCATCATCATCAGCATCATCGTCATCACCATCATCATCATCATCATCATCCTCATCATCATCATCATCGCCACCATCATTATCATCATCATCACCATCATCATCGTCATCGTCATCGTCATCGTCATCATCGTCATCATCATCATCAGCATCATCGTCATCATCCTCCTCATCCTCATCCTCATCATCATCATCATCATCAGCATCATCATCATCAGCATCAACATCCTCCTCCTCGTCCTCGTCGCCGTCCTCCTCCTCCTCCTCGTCGTCGTCGTCATCGTCATCATCGTCATCATCATCATCAGCATCATAATCATCATCATCAGCAGCATCATCAGCATCATCATCATCATCATCCTCACCATCAACATCATCATCGTGATCACCCTCATCATCATCATAATCATCATCAGCGTCATAATCCTCATGATCATCATCATCATCGTCATCATGATGATCACCATCATCATCATCAACATCATCATTACCATTATCATCATCACCATCATCATCATGATCACCATTATCATCACCATCACCATCATCATCATCATCAGAATCATCATCTCGCCATCATCATTAGCATCAGCATCAGCATCAACATCAGCACCATCATAACCATCATCATCAGCATCATTATTATCAGCATCAGCATCAGCATCAGCATCAGCATCAGCATCATCGTCACCCTTTCCCCTCTCATCCTCCTCTTCCCCCCCCTCCTCCGCCTCCTCCTCCCTCATCTTCCCTCATCCTCTCTTGCCTCCTCGAGGTAAAGCTCACAAGCCATTAAACAAGACGACGAATTCGCACAGAGCATTCCATAGCTCCCCGGGTCGGCGGCACAGGCCAGAAGCCTCTACAATGGCAACATCAGCGTACCGCGCCGTGTATACGCTGCCAGTCCACGTTGGACATGAACTGCCGCATCCCGCCTGGCCAACGCCCGCATAGGAAGCGCGAAACATATCGCTGGAAAGGGTAACCCCATTGGGCGCTGGCATGCCCATGGACACCAAGATATTGTTTAAATCCGTTCCGATGTTCCCTGAATTCTCATACCAATGAAAAAACGGCTCGTCATTTGTCGCGACAGCTACCACCGTGCCAGCAGCAATACCATTGAGGTGATTTTTGAGCGAGGTCAGATCTGTGTAGCTGAAGAAATTATGCCCTGCACTAGTGGACACCATAATGCCGCGATAGTTAGATGCATGGCTGTAAGTCGCGTCTCCGCTGCCCATGCCCGTGACGATCGCGCACCCGCATCCACAGGACGTTCCCCTGCTAGGCTGGTCACAGCCTTCCGCCCTCGCCGTGACATCCGAGCACACCTGGTACACGTGAGTCACGCAGCTGCTACCTCCGTCGGCACAAGTGCTGAAATCAGATGGCCTGGAAATGATCGACGTCTCCGTGTGTAACCAACAATGGTTGCCATCCTCTACGGAGAAGAACTTGTATCCCCCAGCTTCCGCGAGAGCCCCGCAAGATACCCAACTATGCGGTCTGCCGATGCTGGCGCTCGTTGACCACACACGCGGGCAATTGTTCCAACATCCAATGGACGTGTAAGTGGACGACAAGTTTGCGCTCAAAGACGCTAAAGCCGCCGATGCTGACTTCATCTCGGCCTCCATGCGCGACATCCTGTCACCTTGCTGCACATGAATGGCACCCGCGGTTGTAAATAATACCACCAGCCACATGGACGTGAATACTGCCTGGACCTTCATCTCAAACGAGAGGAGGCCGCAAGCGTAATGTAGTTGTGTGAGGTCGGGTACGAGGTGTGACTGCTCGAGCCAATGTCTAAGACTACAGAAGCATGGCTTTCAGATGAACCCCCAGTTGGCTCCAGCGTTGCCCAAAGTTGTCCAAGGCGGCCCCCAAGAGGGGCCAGGATGGCCAACATCACATAAATAATCCTGCTGGAAAGCGCTACGAGGGGAGTCGATTGGAAAACAGCACAACGCTAATCAATTGGAAAGCGCTGCTCAGGGTTCCTCTTGGAAGGCATCACACCGAAAAATATCTGAAAAGAACAACACAGGAAGTCGATTGGAAACCCCACATGGAAAGCACTCCAAAAGGATTCGATTGGGCAGCGTCACAACAGGACCCTGGTGGAAAACGCAAGAAAAACAATCGAAAAACCTCACCTGGAAGACACCACAAACATATTATACTGGACGGCCTCACAATTGGAATAGTGCTTCTACCCGAAAGCATCAGATACAGCTGAAAATCGCCACGGAGGGATTCGATGGGAAAACATCACAACAAACATCCGCTGGAACGCATTACTGAGGGCTTCTGTTTGAAGGCACCACAACGGGAACGGAACAAACATCCAAAGGAATTCGATTGGAAAGCTTCACACGGAAAGGACCCCAAAGAGATTCGATGGGAAGGCGTCACAACAGGAATGTCTTGGACAGCGCAACGCAATATTCGATTCGAAAAACACATGTAAAACATCACACATAGATTATACGAAGCGGTCTACCAATCGGAACATGTTGGAACGCACCACTCAAGGTTCCTACTGGAATGCGTCACAAGGAGACTCCGATTTGGAAAACGGTACGAACATATTCTATTGTAAAACGTCTCAGCACGAATCCGCTGCAAAGCCCGACTGCAGGCTTTGATGGGAAGTCATCACCAAGGGAAGCCTTTGAACAGCACCACGAAGGGATTCAATTGGGAAGGCTCACGTGGAAAGCACCACAACAGGGATTCGATTGGAAAGCGTCACAACAAGAATCGGTTGGAGACGCAACGGAAGAATTCTTCTGGAAAGCCTTACATGGAAAACGCCACAAAAGGCTTACATCAGAAACCCTCACAACCGGAATCGTCCGGAAAACTCTACAGAAAGTTCCGATTGGAATCCGTCACAAACGGTATCCCTTGGAAAACGCGGCGCAGGGATTCGTTTGGAAAGCATCACAACAGGAATCCGCTGGAAGACACGACTGAGGAGTCCGATTGGGCATCAGCACCAAAAAACGCGAGCCCAGCACCAGAGGGTTGGAGAAGAACGAGTGAGCCAACCAAACAGATGATCCTGGCGAAGGACCCAACCATGTGCACTTGAGGATACCGCCGCTGTGGGAACCGTCTTCGGTGGAGCACCCCACGGGGCCCTGAAGCGCGTGCAGGGCACGCCGAATATGTGGCGGGGGCCGACGTGCGGACGCTGCCACTGGGGCCTCAGAGAGAGAGAGAGAGAGAGAGCAAGCAGTGAGGCCGCGACGCGTGGAGAGGGGCGCGCGGGGACGCGCGATGGGGGCGTGCGAGCAACCGCGAGGGAGCTCCGACGAGCGAGGGGCGTGCAGGCTCCAACTGTCTCAAGGTCTATAGCCTCTGCTCTCACGAGCACTGCGCCGCGGCGAGGAGGAGGCCCCGAGCAGGGCGGGCACGGGGGCCTCCTCCTCCTCCTCCTCCTCCCCCTCCTCCTCCTCCTCCTCCTCCTGCTCCTCCTCCTCCTCCCCGTCTCCTCCTCCTCCTCCTCCTCCTCGAATATCGCAAGGTATAGCCTCTGCACCGCGGGGAGGATGAGGCCCAGGGCAGTGCGGACACGGGGGGCGGTGGGCGGAGCTGCCACGAGTGCGCCGCCGCGGACGCACACATCCAGCCCTTCAACGGCCGCACGCTGCGCCGCCAGGGCGGGCAGAGCTTAAGACAACGGCGATGCATACGGTGATGGCATTGGATAAGGAAACCTTCGATGAGGAATCCAGGGTCTGGAATCCAATGGAAAGCCAATCGTGGATTGGCCGTGAATATCAGCGCCGCCCTCATCGGATAAGGAACCCTCCAGGGTCTGAAGCCTCCTGGGCACGTTCCTTAACGAACGCCCCCACCGTACTTGTCTTTGCGCCCAGCAGCAAGGTGGGACAGGCAGGCGCCCTTCCGCGCCAAGGCCTGCACGACCCAGACAGGCGTCCCACACAGACAGATGCACGCACTCGGCTGTAGAGGTCCTCTGGGGGGCGTTCTCGGGGGTCGGTTGGAGCCGTTGGGACGCCTCTTGGGGCCTCCAGTGAGCTGTGAGCCTCTTGGGGGCTTCTGGGGAGCCTGCTTGCGATCTCGGGGTTCCTTTCTCGAAAAGTCAGTTGGAGTTTCCCCTCTTGGGCCCTTCTTGGGCCCCCCATGAGGCCCTCTTGGTTTGTCTAGGGCGCCTCTGTGGCCGTCCCAGGGGTGTCGTAGGCCGCCTGGAAGCCCCCATGCTGGGCCGTCTTAACAAAAGTGCGAATAGACTTAAAATGGAAAACTCCCAGTCGGATTGGGTTGACTGTTGCCTTCTGGAGCCCTCTTGAGAACCTCCATTGGAGCATCCTCAGGGCGTCTTGGGGATCTCTCGGGCCGCCGTCTTCGAAAGCGCGGGGCGTCTCGAGGGCCTCTTTGACAGTCCTGGAAGCCACTTTGGCTGGCTCATCTGGGGTCACCCCATGGCTGTCCGAGGCCCCTGTCCCCCCCCCCCCCCCCCCCCCCCCGGCACCGCCACGGGGAAACGGTGGCTGCGTTCCTGGGGCCTGCTCCTCCTCTTCCTCGTCCCCCCCCCTCCTCCAATATCGCAAGGTATAGCCTCCCCCTCCTCCTCCTCCTCCTCCTCCTCCTGCTCTTCCTCCTCCTCCTCCTCCTCCTCCTCCTCCTCCTCCTCTGAGCGGAAAGCTGGCAGTACCGGTTCTTCTGTTTCCCGTCGGGGACGCCTCTGGGGGCCGGCTTCCGGCCTAATTGCGAGGGCCATGGAGGCCTCCTGGGCTGTGTTTGGGGGTCTCTTGGAGAGTCCCGGCGCTCTCTCCGAACCCCATGAGGCGGTCTTTGGGAGGCGGAGGTTTGGAGGGCCTCTACGTAATGCCACCTTGTGCAGCCTTGGGAAGCCGAAAAGGCAAGAACCCCGAAGTCCATCAAAAACATCGAATGCCAAAGACTTGTGCCTCCTGGGGCCTGATTTGGGGCCTCTTGGGTGTAGTTGTCTTTTT